TCAGTACCGCTTGCAGCTCTAGCGCTCGTCGGAGGGCCTCGTTTACCTTCTTCTCACCTCCTAGCAGCAGCTGGAACCTTATATCGGCATCCCGTATTCCATATACGAAGGCTATTCCTGCCTCTCTTCCTATGTGGTCTTCAGGTAGATTGGGGTAGGCACGACGGGAAAGCAGTTCAATGGCCGTGGCAAAATCTTGCAGGGATTCTCCAGGTTTCTGGGTCCTTGTTCTTAATTGGCAGCGGTAGGTAGCTGCAAAGTGTTGGTCCCCGAAACGGTCTTCTAGAGCCTGAAGAGTTTCCTCGTAAGTGGCATTTGCCGGAATGCCGGGCAGTATTTCCGCCGCCCGACCCTTCAGGGCAGTAATTATGTATGTCGATTTTTCCTTGTCCGACCATCGGTTGTGTTCTGCCATGGTCTCGAATTGTCGCCGGAACACGCTCCATGTTGAATTCCCGTTAAACGTCGGGGGCTGAGCTGTGCTCGCGCTGACTGTGATTCCCCGCTCGGTCCTCGTCTGTACCCCTTCCAAACGGGCCTGGAATTCGCGTTTCGTCTCCTCGATTGCTGCACCGGTTTTCGTTAGTTCTTCCTGGAGTTTATCTGTCCTCGCGCAGAGGCACACTTCCACTGACTCCAGTTCCCGTTGTGTTTTTCCCGTTCTTTCTGTAAGCTCCTGAAGCTTTCCGTCTCCTCAGCCCTAAATAAAAAAACTAAAGAAACCCAGGAAAGTATACAGAAAGAAATCCGAAAAAATAAACCATATTAACCATAAAGCCTAAAGATGCGCTCCGGTCTCCTGTGAGCGTGGAGTCCGATAGCCCTTCATCTGAATATTCAGATTCAGAAATGGCATCTATATGGGCAGATAATAAAACCACGTCAATTAAAGAAAACCACGAACAGTCAGAACCATGAAGACCCAAGCCAGCCTCACCCGAGATATGCTCTTCTGGCAATCACAGCCTTACAGTGGCTGCAGATGTACACTGTTCCCGAGGTGGAACAAGTTTTTGTGTGTGTAAATTTAATATAGTTGACAAATACGCACTTTTTAAATACTATTTAAATAATTTTATAAAGGCAAGCAATGAAATGGGTAGCGTAATTAGGGCACCTGATGATGGCACTATGTTGCCGAAACATGTCATGAAGTAACAGGTGAAACTGAGTGCACTACAAGACGGCAACTGTATACATAATTTACCAAATTGATTGTTACTGGTGATGAGACATGGTGTTTTCAATATGAGCCTCTCACAAAGCGAAAGAGTGCAGCGTGGTCGAGCCCAAGAAGCCAGCAGAAACCAAAGAAAGTGCCCATGCAAAAGAGTCGAGTAAAGACTGCTAACCGTTTTCTGCGATTCGATTCCAAAGGAATCATTCACAAGGAATATCCACCAGAAGGTCAAACAGTGAATTCTGATTATCTCAGAGTCCTCAATCGTTTGTGGGCAAGAATTCTTCAAATTTGACCTGAATATCAAGAGCAAGGTTCCTTGTCACTCCTCCATGACAATGTCCCACCCTATAAATCGAAGATCGTGCGCGATTTTTTGGCCAGAAAATGGATCACAGTTCTTCATCTTCCTCCGTATTCGCCAGATTTGGCTCTAGCAGATTTCTGGTTGTTCCCAAAAGTTAAGTTGGCGATGAAAGGAGACTGTCACGACTCCATGCAGGATATCCAAAGGGAATCTATCGCAGTTTTAAATGTGATTCCACAATAAGAGTACAGTGCCTGTTTTCGAAAACTTTTCAATTGATTCCAGCTATGTATTGATTCAGAAGAAGACTATTTTGAATAAAAAAAGAGTGAAATTTTGAAAATAATTCATGTCTTGTATTTTTAATGAACATAGTTCTAACAGAACCTGGACACACTTGTGTATGAGCAGTTACAATGGTAGAGTTTGTTACTGATAGGATGTCATACTAAGAAGTCGCTGGTGTGATATAGTTCTGAGTGTTCAAGCTCCAACAGAGGACAAAACTAATGACATAAAGGCTATTCTACAATGAACTAGAACATGTACTCGATAAATTGCCAAAATTCCACATGAAAATTTTGTTAGATTTCAATGCTGAAGTAGGTAGGGAACGATAGTTTGCACAAAATTAGCAGTGATAATGGAGCTAGAGCAGTCAACTTCGCCACATCAAAAAATCTTATTGTCAAAAGTATGATGTTTCCACATCGTAACATTCATAAACTTAATTGGATATCTCATGATGGAAAGATGCACAACCAAACTGACCACATCTTGATAGATAGGAGATGACATTCAAGTATACCTGTTGTCCAATCGTGCAGTGGAGCAGACTGTGTTACTGACCAATATCTGGTTGTGGCAAAAATAATGGAGAGACTGGCAGTGAGTAAACAAAAACACACTAAGTTCATATGGAGACGTTAAATCTTAAGAAATTAAAGCAGGTAAAAAGGAGTATCATGTTGAAATCAAATCTCAAATAGGTTTGCAACTCTGGAAAACTTAGATAGTGAGAAGGATATTAATAGAGCTTGGGAAACTATTAGAGAGAATACAAAAAATTCAGCCAAAGTGGATCTAGGTTACTGTGAACTGAAGATGAATAAACCATGTTTTGATGAAGGATATTCAGAATTATCAGATCAAAGGAGACAAGTCAAACTGCAGTGGTTACAGGATCCAAGCAAACTAAATGGGGATAATCTGAACAATATATTAGAGGTCACCAACCTGGAAGTAATTCAGTGAAGGATGAGAGTGGTGATCTGCTTGTAGATTCCCACAACATTTTGAACAGATGAAAGAACTACTTCTGTCAGTTATTGAATGTACATAGGGTCAGTGATATTAGGCAGAGAGTGATACATACAGCTGAGCCATTAGTACCTGATCCTAGCCCTTCTGAGGTTGAAAATGCTATTGTAAAGTTAAAAAGGTATAAATCACCATGTAGTGATCAAATTCTGGCAGAATTGTTTCAAGCAGGATGTGAAATATTATGTTCCATTATCAATAAGCTAATTAGTTCTATTTGGAATAAGGGAAAAATGCCTGATCAGGGAATTAAGTTGATTATTGTACTAGCTCACAAGAAGGGTGCCCAATCTGACTGTAGTAATTACTGTGGGATATCACTCCTATCAACTTCATATAAAAATTTTATCCGATCCTCTTCTCTCAAGGTTAGGTCTGTAAGTAGATGGAATTATTGGGGATCACCAGCGTGGGTTTTAAAGTAACAGATCAACTACTGATCAGATCTTTTGCATTTGTCAGATACTGGGGAAAAAATGGAAGTACAATGAGAGAGTATGTCAGCTATTTGTAGACTTCAAGAATGCCTATGATTCAGTTAGGAGAGAAGTATTACACAATATTCTGATAAGAGTTCAGGATACCCATGGAACTAATTAGGCTGAGCAAAATGTGTTTAAACGAAACATCTAGTAAAGTCCATATAGGTAAACATTTGTCTGATAATTTTCCTATTCAGAATGGTCTAAAACAAGGAGATGCTTTATTGCACTCCTTTTCAACTCTGCTTTAGAATACGCCATTAGGAAGGTCCAGGGAAACCAGGTGGGACTGAAATTAAATGGGACACATCAGCTGCTGGTCTATGCTGATGATGTGAATCTACTGGGTGATAATGTAGACACCATAAGGAAAACACGGAAACTTTAACTGATGCTAGCAAGGAGGTTGGTCTAGATTTAAACAAAGATAAAACTAAGTATATGTTCCTGACTTGTCACCAGAACACAGGGCAAAATCATGATATAAAGACAGGTAAAAGCTGTTTTGAAAATGTGGCACAGTTGAGATATCTGGGAATGACTATAACAAATAAAAACCTGATAGAAGAGGAAATTAAGAGGAGATTGAATTCGGGTAATGCTCGATACCATTCAGTCCAGAACCTTTTGTCTTCTCGTCTGCTGTCAAAAAACATAAAAATTAGAATCTACAAAACTACAATATTGTCTTTGGTTCTGTATGGGTGTGAAACTTGGTCTCTGACATTAAAGGATAAACACAGACTGAGAGTGTTTGAGAACAGGGTGATGAGGAGAATATTTGGACCGAAAAGAAATGAATTGCCGGGAGGCTGGAGGAGCTTCATAGCTTGTGATCTTCTCCAAGTATAATCAGAATGATCAAGTGAAGGAGGATGAGATGGGCAGGTCATGTAGCATGAATGGAAATGAAGAGGAATGCATATAGGATATTGGTGGGAATGGTAGATGGAAAGAGACCACTAGGAAGACCAAGATGCAGGTGGGTGGACAATATTAAAATAGATCTGGGAGAGGGAGAGAGAGAATGGGATCCTATGGACTGGATGAACCTGGCTCAGGATAGGGAACAGTGGAGAGCTCTTGTGAACGCCGCAATGAACTTTTTGGTTCCATAAAATGCTGGGAACTTCTCGAGTAAGCTGTACAATTGGCGGCTTCTGAAGAAGGGCTCATCTCCATGCGTGAGTGACTGGTCTGAAGAGCTCCCTTCCACATAATTCATGTGTTGACTGTGAAGAAGCTACTTCTGTTTCATACACATATCTGCGGAGAACAACACTGCAGCAAGAAAAATGATATACTGAAAAAGGGGAACACAACAGGAAGATTGGTTTACAAAACCACATGAGACCTCAATGCTCTAGTGGGTAGGAGGCAGGTCCATCCATTGCAAGATAAGTACAACACAAACTGTTTTGCAAAACATGGTGTTGATTTAATTGAACTTTCTGCATATAGGGTGGCAAATTGAAAATAAGTGTTTAAAACATAAGTTTTTGTTTTGAGGGTTTTGCAATAGTATTTTATTAGCAAAGGGGTCCTGGAGCAAAACGTATTTTGAGAACAAATGATCTAGAATATTCTGTGTATATGTAAAAGGAGAGAGGACAAAATACAAGCCATGCTACCTTACCTCAGAACTGGAACTGCAATGTGACCTCTTCAGTTTGATCTTTCTGGATCCCAACTGCTTTTTCCCATTACTAGATTCAGAATCCGGGGATCTGGACTGTCCTAAAGGTGTATCTGTAATACCTTCATCTGCTTGCTTCTGTTTCATATTTTGTCCTTCACTCTTCCTTTCTTTCTCTTTTTCTTTACGTCTGTCCTTAATGATAATTCTATCAAGAATATCTCCATTAGGATCAGAGTTCTCAAATTTTTTCAACCTCTTCATTTGGATGCTCTTTAAGTCATCAGACCCAGAACTAGAATTCAGCTTTATCTTCTTATGTTCAAAATGTACTGTATCTGGAGGTGGTTTCAGTCTGTCTCCAGTGCTATGGGAACCATGTTCATGTGATGTTGAAGCTTCACTGAAGCCATATGAAATACTGGACCTGTAAAGACAAGCTTGTAACTGTTCTGAAGCATGTGGAACTCACCAAAACACTTTATAAAAGGGTTAACAAGCACACTATGATGAAATTGAGATATATAAGTGCAAGCCAACAGTACAGTCAGTCTTCTATCAGTTCATTTGTTGGTCATTTATTTAACCTTCACTGCTGGTGTGCTGCATTACACTGATGCACGCACATCTCTAGCAGGCCTAGCATCACACTGTTGCTTTGAATATAAATACCATTACTTCAGAGCCGAATCTGAGCACCAGTGGGATAGTAGCAGATTTAAATCCCTTACTCCCAGATGATAAAGGAACAATCTGTCATGGCTTTTCTTAGTTCTTCCACCAGATTCTGGGAAATTACTATAAATGCCTTCCATATCCTTTCCCCTTACTCAGTTAGTCCTCCTGTAACTTGATGCTGTATAACATGAAAGAATTGATCATGTATCAATCAATAAACCAATAAATTGTGTTAACAGCAGAAATGAAGGACAGTAACATTAACAAGATATACAGCACAAATGGGATTTGTCTAGTGCAGTGGTTCCCAAAGTTTGTAAGACCGCAATCTGGTAAATTCTTCTTTCATAAAATGAGGGTCCCATCCAAACAAATTCAAAAAACAAATGTTTTAAAGTTCATACATTTCACTAACATAAGTATTAATAATTAACACTTTGCGGACTGCGCACCCTTTAAAAGGTTTTTTGATTTTAAACATGGCGGACCATTCGTGCGTTAACAGGCTTTTAGAACACGATAAGTTGCAACACACTATACATCGCTCTGGCGCCACCTACATTGCACGCAACCACCTGCAAATGGGTGATAAGACTTTGGAATGTTTAGTTAGCAGTCAGTAACTTGACCTCGCTGTTTACTTAACCGTCTATAAAGGAAAATGCTTCGCCTTCTTCAAGCTGTGTGTATCAGCCAGTAAGTAGCTAGCGGGGAGAATGGATCAAGGACAAATTCTCCTCTGATGACCTAGCTGACCTGCCTTGTGAGACACGTAGTAATGGATTGTCATTCAGACAGCAACAGTGATGGGGGACAACAAAGAATTGTGGCCACAGACAGTAAAAGTGACAGTAGCTCCGACGATAATGCACTACTACTGCACGTAATAACATTGCGGGGACAGCAAAAAATCTAAACCCTGATTCAAAATTGAAATACAAAGCATTTCTGATGAATGTGGCAAAGGCCTGGGCTACAGTCCAGATGGTGACAGCAGAACCAGTGTCAAACAAAGACTTAGTATGACCGGGCCCATCAACTCCCACCCCACAAAGGCCTCATGTGGATCCCCCTGGGCGACTCTTGAGTGATATGCGGAAAAATACCCTCGTGAAAATTGTGAAGAGTGAACATTCCAAGGGGAAGAATACTTCTAGGCAATGCCGTGTTTGCACAGTTCACAAAAAAAGGAGTATGTCTACATTTGCAAGTTCTGTGTAATGCCACTTCACAAAGGGGAAACTTTCCAGAAATATCACACCCTAAAGCACTTCTAGGAGCATTGGTAAGTTTTCTCCAAAAATTTTAGTTCAAAAAATTAATTAGGAGATTTTATATTAATTTTTAAAGTGAACAGTGCACAAGTTAGGGTAGTATGTTTAAAAATGCCGGTCCCCAGGGTGATTTAAATATTTAAATCACCGGTCTGCGAGGTGTTAATTATGGCACAATCATAAAGAGTTGTCGGAACCTTCCACATTCTAACATGCAGCTTTGCTGGTCTAAAAAACAACATTCAATTTCTGCTCAAGCCAAGTCAACGTCAGATTGAAACCAATATATTTATAAAGTACTCGCTTTCTGGCCCCCCTAGAGGGCATTGTGGGCGCTTGCCAATCAGTGCTCACAACCGCAACTGCACCTTTAGCTCTGCCCAGCAAGCACCGTATAAAAGGTAGAGCTCAAAACTTGATATCATCAGTTCTTCTTCAATCGTCTGCACTCCGCCGAAGACAGCTTATGTAGCTATGCTGACGTCACAAGGCAGCAGCTCTCTAGCAAACAACACTGAGACAGCGGACTACAATGCCTGGCCAGCTAGACTCCACTCCAATGCTTACTCGTAACCGCCGAGTGGCCATAAAGAAGGCCCGGACTATCCTACTAGGATTGCCACTATTCTGTCCATTTGTAACTGCTCAGCGACGTAACGGAAGGCACACACTACCTTAGGGTCCATAAAGGAAGGCCCACACTACTACTAGCACAAGCATGGTGGAGCAAACGGCCCTTTTCAAGGCTTGCAAACTTGTTGACAACATATATATACAGTGGAACCTCGCTTAACGGCATAATTCGTTCCAGAATCTTACTCGTAATGTGAAACACTCATTAAGCGAAACTAAAAAAAATTATGTATAACGTTTATTCAAAGAAAATTATATATACATTGTTAAGGAGCGTGTATCATTTTCATCTTTTCTTTTATGCAGAATGAACCAACTTGGAATGCAAATTTGATTTGCAGAAAAAAAAATAATAATTAGTTTACTTGTTTTGGCCTATTTTGGACTTCATCCATCATCTGGTATGTAAAAGTCAAAAGACCATGACGTTTTGGAGACTGGATCTGTCTCCGTCTTCAGGTTGGTAGGGAAGGATAAACCTACTCAGTTGGGCCCGTTAGAAAGAGCTAGTCTCAATCACTGGACCAGTGATTTCAGTGTCTTTTACATACCAGATGATGGATGAAGTCCAAAATAGGCCAAAAGAAGTACAGTATGCAACATCGTCAGAATCCTTTCAAGTCAATAATTAGTTTATTATTTATGATACATATCTAATTCTTTTTTACTAGAAAGCTGCCTAAAGACATTTATTTTTGCCGACGCTTCAAAATTTGGTGAAAACGCGACACAGCACTATCATTATATAAATTTGTATCATGCATAGCCACTGCCTTATTAGGGTGATGCTTCTCAATGTACGATGCAACAGTTTCCCATGCTTTCAGCATTTCTCTTATTGCGCCAGAAGATTGTTGCTTTGCTGTTACCTCTTCCTCCTCCTCTGACAAACTCTCCTTCACAACTTCTTGCTGTGAAACATAATGCAACTCTATAAACTCTTCAGTGGTCAGCTCTTGGCTGTGCTCTTCCACAAGCTCGTCGATATCATTGTTATCCACCTCCAGCCCCATGATCTTGGCCAAAGACACAATCTCGTTGACTACATGCTCCACAGGTACTATCTCAAACCCCTCAAAGTCACATCTGACAACACTGTCCGGCCAAAGCTTCTTCCAAGCAGAAGTGAGGGTTCTCTTGGTAACCCCTTCCCATGCCGTTTTGATCATCTTGAGGCAGGCAACAATGTGGAAGTGATATTTCCAAAACTCTCTGAGAGTGAGATTGGTCCCTTCAGTCACCTCAAAACAAGCTTCTTAAAGTTAGAAATAACCTGCTGGTCCATAGGCTGGAGTATCAGAGTGGTGTTGGGAGGCAGAAACTGGATCTTGTTGAATTTAAATTCTTGAAGGAGGTCATCTTGTAGGTCTGGAGGATGGGCAGGAGCATTGTCCTTAACAAGCAAGACATGGAGTGGCAGATTCATCTCAAATATTTTTTCACAGAATGACCAAACACTTCATAGATCCAATCAGTAAAAAGGTCACAAGTCACCCAAGCCTTGTTGTTGGACCTCCACATCACATTTAGCCTGCTCTTCTGGACTTTACACTTCCTAAAGGCCCGTGGAGTTTCAGAATGGTAAACAAACAGCAGTTTAATTTTCAAATTGCTGCTTGCAATGGCACAAAATAGCAGCATGAGACAGTCTTTAACTGGCTTATGGCTGGGCAATGCATTATCCTCTGCTGTTATATAGGTTCGCTTCGGCATCTTTTTCCAGAAGAGACCCGTCTCGTCACAATTAAAAACCTGTTGTGGCAGGTAACCCTCAGAATCTACAAGCTTCTTGAAGTTGCTGATGAAGTTCTCTGCTGCCTTTGTGTTGGAGCTTGCTGCTTCACCATGCCTTACAATGCTGTGGATGCCGGTTCTTCTCTTAAACTTCTCGAACCACCCACGGTTTCCCTTAAATGCTTCTTCTTTGGCTGTTGATGATCCTGGCGTCTCCTTAACGAGGTTGGCGAAAATCACTTTTGCCTCCTCAAAAATGATGTTCTTGTTAATAGTGTCACCTTGCAATTGCTTTTCGTTTATCCATATGAGGAGCAACCTTTCAACACTGTCGAGAATCCATAACCATTGCATAGATATTCTTGTCACTCCCTTTGAAGAATCTATCTCCTTAATCTTGTCCTTGTTCTTGAGGATAGTGCAAGTCATTAATGTAGACCAAGTGTATGTGCATGCTAGATCAGCCACGCTCACACCTTGTTCTCGCTTTTCAATGATTTTACATTTCATTTCTATGGTTATTTTAATTCTTTTATGGCTGTCTTTTTGCGGCTTTATCTTCGGAGACATTTTTGCAAGGGTTATTAAACTTTGCACAATAAAATCACAAATAATATGTCTGAACACAAGTTTTGAAAAATGTGTGATCACAAGTGACAATAAGATGCTAGCAGAATGAGTGCTACACAGAGACTGATGTAGCAAGCGCACAATCCGGGACTTTCCCTCTCGTCACTCGTTATGTGAAATGTCGCTCGTTAAGTGAGTCACTTTTTTACAATTTGTTTTGCTTGTTATGAGAGGCGCTCGTTAAGCGAGGTTTCACTGTATATATATATATATCCAGATGGCTTCCCAGCCATTCTGTACATTGAGAATAATATATTCAACTGTTATAGTTTTACGTGGTTGTCTCTTAGAACATCGACATCCCACAGAGTATTAGTACACTTATGTATATGGTGTGGCAGGTTGACAAATAAAACATTACATTTAAATTATTTATCAATCACTGGACTAATGAAATCTTTTAGCATATCTTGGGCCAACATCACTAAATTGATTTGTGCTAATTTTCAATGACATTCCCCATTCTGATCACCAAAAA